GTCAAAGTTAACGATCATATGAGTTATAACGAAATTTTGGATATGTCTGAATTTTGTGTGCATCCGGGAGAAGACGCGTACGACAAAAAAGTTGAAAAATGGAATTGATTTACATAATGGCGATGCCAAAAAGAATTTAAAGGCAAAAGAATTTAAAAAAAGCCTTTTGTTCTGCATATCAGATGTACGTGAGTCGCGTGCGTCCGTACGTACATTGCAGATAAATAAATTTTAGTATGTACTTATCAAAAACCTAACTTTCTAAAAATATTCACTCGCTATAGCATTTATATAGCATAGTACTTGCACGAAATTTGACGCCAAATATTTTTAAAATAAACAAAAAAAAAATTTTAAAAAGCATTGTTATTTATCGTTATCTGGCATAATCGCTGCGTTAATACATTGTCTAATCAAAATAACAATATGGTACGTATACTTTTCTAGTCTTTTTATTTATTTATTTATTGGTATAGTACTGTACCGTTACAAATGATCACAAGATATGCAGATCTAAAATAGTTTATCGTTATACAGAAAACTTAATCTTTTATTAACATAATTTTTTATAGTTAGACGTCACTTTCAAATTTCAATTAAAAATTGACGTACGTACGTACGTACGTACGTCGTTTTAAACTTGTAAAATGAGGTACGTCGTATTCTAATCGGTATGAAAATATGAAATATGAAAAAATGGTTTTACCTTATTTTTTTTTCAAGATCAACGTGGCCAAAGATTTATGCAATAATAAAAATTCGTGTGAGATTGTAGATGCTGTCAAAGTTGAAAATAAGAATGAACAGGCTGCATTGTTCGATTCAAAAGAACTAGAAAAGATTAATCCATTAATGAATATTAACCGAAAGAACACGATATAATTCAATTAGAGATTAATAATGTTAAGTCAATATCAGGGTCCCGAACAGGCATTAAGCCCCAATTATTTGATTCTCTCTGGAATATTGGATGTTCCTACATTAAAAATGAAAATTTGCAATTTAGAAGGAAATATAGAAAGATTGATGATAGAAGCGCTTTGGAAGAAGATTAAGTAATTTATTTTTTTTTGTTTAATATGAATATTAGCTAATAAAAATTATGTTATTATAGAGAATTCAGCTTTGAAATCTCAAGTATCTCAGAAACACCACTTTAGAACATTTGGATATCCACAAGGTGGATTGGCATTTATAGACCCGCTTTTAGAAAATACTTCACAGAATAGTCTTGGTGTTAATGCAGAGAGAGAATTTGGAAGATTTTTAGAAACTACTACTCTGACTTCATTACATTACTCTTACTTTATTAAATATGTTTCATATAAATATCTCGACTTGAACAAAGGTTGATTAGACTCGAAAGGGCACAGCGTCCCTGACAGATTCATTATCGCTCGAAACTATGATATCAATGGAATCCGAAGATATTACAATGTCTACAGTAAGACCACGGTAGTAAATCCAAGGAGTCTTATAGAAATTTATCTCAAGGATCGATAGATTTTGGAGAAGTGAATTATCACAAATAGTTTTAACAGATTTTTAGAGTGCCGCTGTAAATGCCATTCAATTAGGGTGCTATTTCCACCTTTCTCAGAGCTTCTGGACTTACTACACAATATGGAACTGATGAAAGTTTTAGCTTATAAGGCATATTCCCGCTCTCACTTTTTTACCTCCTGACGAAATACCTACAGCATTTGATGAGCTAAAAACTTAGGCCCATGAGGTTGTTCAGTGGTTTGAAGATTATTAAAGATGCGTACACAGAAATGGTAACGTAATTAAATCTGAGCCGTTAATCCTACCTGATTTCTGGTTGGTGATCAATAATGTTAAATTCATTTATCCTAGGAACCAAAACTCAGTCGAGGGATGGCACAAAAGATGGGAACGTTGGTTAGCTGGAGTCTTTAAAATCATAAAGGATATCCAAATGGAACAAAATTATGTTCAGCTTAATATCGAAGCAGTCTTGCAAGGTGCACCAAGACTACCACAAAAAAGACAAATGATTGTACATGAATTATGTGTCCAAGCAGTAATTAATGATCGTAACAATAGACCGGTCATGGATATTTGCGTGGTATCGCTCATAACATTTCTTTTAAACTTTACATTTTTTATTATGCGCTTTATTATGCTTTTTTTTTTTTTTATATTTTATCACACTATTTCTATCTATTAGCAGATCCTGTACACTTTAATTTTTTTTAATCTTTTAATTTACAAAGGTTGATTGTAATTTTTTTCGTAATGTAGGGCCTTATCACACATTATGCTACTGAAACCAAAACAACACTGTCCTTTAATGTTGGAGGTTTTCAACAGCGAATTGTTAGAGAAAATGTATAGTCTATTAGAAGTTTTACATAAATGTTAAATTTTTAGTATTTGCGTTTACACTAGTTGCTAAAAGATATTTTTGCTAAAAATTTATAAAAAATATGTTATAAACATAGAGAATTAGTATTTTTATACCTGATTTGTATTTAAACCCATTGTATGTTAATTGAATTCTAGCATGATGGCACATATATTTATCATTAAAGATATGTGAAAATGCTAGCTCTTTAAATATAGTGATTTTATATCACATGAAAAAGTATATTTTTTTAATCTATATATTTTTTGTTATAAATAATTTTATTTATGAAAAAACTTGTATAATTTGGTTATACACTTTTTTTACATAAATTTGAGTCATGCTTCGAGTAGTAATAATTAGGTCAGGTACCGTATAAATAACTTGATTTTTTGCTCAATACTAACTTTTTTTTTTCTACGTAAATTTGAGTCCGGTCTTCATGTAATAATAATTAAGCCAAGTATGTATTAACTTTTTTTTCTTGCATAAATAATTCGATTCTTCGCTCAATACTATAAGTTTCTTTTACGTAAATTCGAGTCAGATATTCGCGGTAGTTATAATTAAGTCAGATACAGTGCTTAAAATTTGACGTTCTCGGAATAATACGGGACTATAAATCATTAAAATATGTTCTCTTTTTAAGAACATTAAACAAATTCTTTTTGATATTAAAAAAAATTGAATTTTCCTATGTAGAGAACATTAAACTAAAAATGTAATTTTTGAGAACATAAAGAATTATAAACACTGTTCAGATATCTTATTAATTTTTTTATTGTATAAATAATTTGATTTTTTGCTCAATTTAACTTTAACTTTCTTTTGACATAAATATGGTCAAGTATTCACGTAGTAATAGGTCAAGCATCATATTAATTTTTTTTTTTTACATAAATAATTTGATTCTTCGCTCAATACTAACTTTAACTTTCTCTTACATAAATTCGAGCCAGGTTTCATATTAATTTTTTTATTACATAAATAGTTTGATTCTTCGCTTAATAATAATTTTAATAATAATATTTTTTTTTTTACATATTTGAGTCAGGTCCTTGTGTAGCGATAATTATGTCAAGTGTTATATTAATTTTTTTTATTGTATAAAGAATTTGATTTCTCACTCAATATTAATTAACATTAAATTTCTTTTAAATAAATTCAAGTCAGATATTCACGTAGTTATAATTGGATCAAATACTATTTTTTATTAAACAATTGAAGTCAGGTCTTTGTACAATCATGCTGCGTTCTATTAATTAAAATAGAATTATCTACGAAGTATACTGTCGGTGAAAGTATTATCTACGAAGTATATTGTCGATGAATAGTATTATCTACGAAGTAAACTGTCGATAAATTGTGCTGTCGGTAAAATAGGCTCGTTGAATTAATATTGTCGGTAAAGTGGCGTGTCGGTGAAGTGATACGAAACCGGGACAATTGCATGTTTGCCATCATTATGATCGCCTTCAGATTGTTGTGGCTAATTGCTGCATAACTGAATCTACAAAATATTGAAACTTAAACAGTTCTTTTTTCGTGTAGAAAGAATACCATATCAGATACGAAAATCTGTCAAAAATGATACGTACTCAAAAAAGGTCGGATTGGCGCCGAAACATGATCGGAAACTTGGCTGAGAAAGCATAAATAATCTACATGATTCGTATATGTTCCTTATCATTCTTTATACTGTATTTGTAAAATTTTTGATATTTGATAAACCACATACAATAATCAAAAAGGCGGCTCAAGAGATTGAGGTCCTTATTTTGATCTGTCGTAGCAAATTAACGTACTATAATTATTAGTAAATCGAAGCAAGACTGTATCAGAACAAATCTCAATAATATCACTATTCGTACTATTTGTTTTTATCTAAATTGATAAGAATAACTACCAGTAAATTGTGTGCTATTTTAATCAGAAAGTGCATCTAGGAGATGCTCTTAGCTGGACGAATGGACAACCTACGCTTCTGGTTCTTTAAGTGTAATGGTTTTAGGATATGGAGTGAGTTATAAGAAACGCACAAATTTATTCTATATATAGTATATAACGATAATGCTAAAAAGCATTCATATATTTGGCGTGATACCGAAGTTCCAAACTGATGCCGACATTCCAAACTGGTGTCGAAATTCCAAGCCAATACCAAAATCGGGACCCTCTTTATACTGAATCTCAGATACTTCTGTATAGAGATTTAATGACTCCAGAACAGAACAGACTGTATTGGCCATAAAATTGTTAAGCAAAATTTGTAAATTTATATTTTGCTAGTGATAGGGCTTTGATTTTTATTGAGATTCTATTTCGCACAAGGCACCTAGTATCACCACCAAAATTCTGTACGTAATCGGTTGTTAAATTTTAATCTAAGCATAATAACAACAAAATCACGATATTTTCGAAGTTTATTATTATTATTATTATTAAAATTATTCGGTTGTTAAATTATTATTATTAAAATTATTTATTAAAATTTACTTAATTACCACTGCAAATTCTAAGTCGAATTACATTCAATTCAAATATTTAAATGCATTTATATTTAATTCAATTTTTTTTTAATACACGTATAAACTTTAAATGCTACCAGTAAAATGTGTTTTTGTTACGACCGCTCCAAGTTTTTGGAAGCTTTTTTGCTCGTTCGAAATCTTTAATGTCATCCACCATTTTTTGGATAGGTTTAAAGTTCGATTCAATGCTTCGAAGCCATCTTTTTTATTTGGGAAAATTATTAGATTTTTCAAGACAATCGAGTGCCTAAAACATAAAATATATTTATATAAACATGAAAGTACAGCGATAATAAACAAAAAAAATCCTATACCTCATAAAGAGCTTTTTTGTACTTTCTTAAAATTTCAGATTCAGATTCACTATCTTCAGTACTCAATTCCTCATTATATATGATTTTATTTTCTGGATTTACAAGGTAAATCATTAAATTATTTTGTGCATGATTAATTAAAATTGGTCAAATATTTTTTCATAAAGTTTTCTTTGCTTCTGAAATAAAAAGATACTGAGAATTTCGTTGTATCTAAATTAAAAAATAAGATTAAATTTGAACTTTTTTTTAAAAAAAAAATAATAACAGACCTATCGAAAAAATGATATATTCATCTTCCCAAAAGGATTAACTAGGTATTTGCATAATAAAAATCTGTTTTTTAAAAAATAAGGACAAAAGCATATCCAATTTTGATAATTAGTTAAATATTTTTGCGCATTATTAATGCTATGAGTAGTTAATTTATTCCACTCAGTTTTGAATTCTTTACGCCATGATAGTAATATTCGTTCATGTAAGAGTAATTAAAATCGATGCAATTGTATACCTGACCAAATTCGATCAACTTTTTTTTGCTTTAATTATAGAAAGCTGTAGAATTCAAAGAAAAAAAGTGAACAAATTTGGTCTGGCAATAATTTTTTAGTAAGGATATAGCAAACAAGATCTATACGTGGCTGATTAAATTTATATAAGTAATCTCGTTTTAGCATATGCTAGTGAGATTCTATTGACATCGTTGTACGAATTACAGAAACTTCTAGAGATACAGATAATGCCCATAGGTCAATTTTAATAATGGTTCCTTTGTAGTCATAATGTTCAATTCTTGGTTCTCTATCATGTTGTTTACTTTCAACAACATTTTTTTTCATCTTTCTTTCAAGTTCACAGCGACAGTTACACCAATAGATAAATAAAATAGTCTGATTTGTGTATTATCATATTTTTTACAGAAATATATAAATAACTATCTCCTTTTTCACAGATCTTTATGGCCTCAAATAATAATGAACTTGCAAAAACTTCTTTGGTGTTATTTACTTCTAATTTATTAATTATTTGAGAAATATCCACAGTTATCTCAAGATTCATATGCATATTGCTTTCTTCTTCAACATCCATAAGCTTTTTATAAACTATATGTTTAAGCTCTTTGGATTTTACTTTATAGCATTTTCTTTTTGCTTGCAATATCACTTAAAATTTGATCTTCACGTTTTCTTTTTCAGCTTTCATTTATATAGTATGAACACTCAAAACATGTTTTTTGATTACTTTGAAATGTAATAATGGGTTTCTAGTTCAACAAAATGAACAAAGTTTTGAATTTTCTATTTATAAGATTCAAACAAAAAAAATTTTTCAACATAAAATAGTTATTCTTATTATTACATATATTATTATTATTACTGTATTATTAATCGAATATTGTATCAATCATTAATTCGAAAAGCATAGGCACGACTGGTCAAGTGATTGGAAGAATGCCAGCTAGCAAAAGGTGCTGGAAATAAATTCAATTAAATTCAAATAAAGGACTTGAAGTCTGCAGAATACAATATGAGTAATTTGGCTAAGTAATTCGAACTAAAACGATAATATGCTCCTAGAAAATTAGCAAGTGAGATTGCGCCAAGTATCATTGTAATAGTAGAACGAGCAAGAGGCAGCATCAGCCGGTGGTTTCTCGCCTGCTCGAAGCAGGCTGGCTGTTAAATAGGAAAATGGCAGAATCAGGAGACTGTTCCATTGATTCGGATATCGAGATTCTGCTGTTGTTCTATGTTCAGTATCGCTGCTCATTATTCGTCAATAGTAGACATATGTGACTGGTTGTAGACGACTGGCTGGGGGTCTGTTTTTTTTTTTTTTTGAATAGCCTGATTGTATACTCAGGAGCATGCTGTAGGGGTCAAAGATATTGCGTTGTTGGTTTATAAGTGTCATTACGCTATTGTTGCGATTGCCGGTGCAATATGATCTAATTATACATACATTGATACTAGTTAGCTATCGAAATGCATTATTACTGTTATTATTATTTAAATATATAATAAATTGAATTATCTAAATATATAATTGCGGTGTTTGAGGTTCTATTAGTAAGACAGTGTGAAAACGGCTCAATTATATAAATATTGTCGCTATTGTGGCTAGGTGGGCCTGGATGGATCTGTAGAAAGAGTTTGAGTTCCACCTGCTAATTTTCTGGACCAATATTAGCTGGACATCTCACATAACCAGTTCGGTGGTGCCCCTGGCCCTGAAACTGTGACCGGCGACATCCTCTGCAAGTAGTAGTTGCTTGAGCTTGTGGATGAAATATCGTTTTGTGATCTATGACCTGTTTGCCCTAGTAAATAACAAGTCGGATTGGCCGTGTGCTCAGGCTGATTTTTGGACGATGTATGCCTTTAAGGCTTCGACCAGACATAGATCATCATACATTGGATTGATAATGAGGGACATTCGTTTTGCAGTTTTGTGGTTCTTGGTGCATGCCAATTGAATAGTTGCAAACGTGTAATGGTCGACTTTTTCGAACCTCAGCAACCTGATTGTTGGTACTTTATCTCGATCCAGCTGTGTTGTGGGAAGGAGCTCCCCCAGACGTGCTAATCCATAAAATGCGGATAGGGCTATTGCCCAAAATGTTGCATCATCTGTGTCACTCATGTCTAAGTTTGTTTTCATCATTTGCAGGTAGACTCATGTAATATGTGATTTCTGGCTAATAGGTATATATATATGGTCTCTTTTGATGGCTTTTAGTAACTCTTTCACTAGAGGGTCATCATGAATTTCATTCCATTCGAGGCAGTTCATCTTGTGGTGATACTTCAATGCTGATAAGTATGAAAACAGAGTTGGGGGTGCGATCTTGTCATGCATATGTGTTATGAATTTAATAAAATGATCTCTGAAAATGGGCCAGGTGTCGTCTTGTAGGCTGATCCATCTATTTTCGATCACTAGTGTTTCATATCGCTTTATTGCTGACTCCTTATTCCTAATATTGCGGCCGCTTGCTGGTTGAGTAGGATTTCGGAGGTTAATTGTGTAGATATTGAACCACTCAAAGGCTCGTTCCTGTCCGTGAAAGTGTGGTACCAACCTACTGAATTAATGAAGGGATTGTAAAAACAAGATTAGAATACTGTTGTGGGATGATGGGTTGTAAGTAGCGAGCAGTCAGATTTTGGGTGAGAAATTGTCTATGGCCATTATGGGATAGCAGGTTTGCTTCCGAGTTCATCTTCTCTGATATGAACTCTAATTTCAACGAAAATTTTTCGTGTATTTGTGCTTAATATATTTGTATAACTATTTCATTGATTGCTGGGTGCTTGCAAAAGCCTGAATATACAGCCTCCGCATTTGCCTGATTATCTGTCCATATGACAATTTGCTTTCGGGTCCATATGGGTAAAAAAGTTAATATTGCAATGAGTACGGTCAGGAGCTCTCGCTCCTGTATGTTATGATAAAACAGGTCCATTTTCTTTGACCAGTTGAGCATGGTAAAGTATGATTGAAAGGTGGCACCACCACCCAAATTGAATATGTTAGTGAAAAGGTTCTGTGTGGCCAGGTCGAGCCATTCCTGGTCCTTCATAAGGTGCACTCCTGACCACGCCGGCAATGTGTTGACCCACTATTTGATGTCAGACCTCATGGGGCTATTAATGTTTATATGGTACTTGGAACCTCTTGCTTTGCTTAATGCCCTGATAAAACGCTGCATGAACAGACGCCCTTGTGGGAGAACCTGGCATACCTACATAAGAGACCTGACCAGAGATTGCAGTTCTTTCTTGAAACACTAATGTTTTTTCACCCATTGCTCCAGCAAGTTTATTAATTTAAGTTTTTTATTGGTAGGAATCGTTGCAGTAAATATCACTGTGTCCATATGGATGCCCAGAAATATAATTGAAGTGCTTGGCCTTTTGAGCTTAGACGGTTTGTATGGTACATTCATAATGCCAAGTATGCGTAGGAACTGGTCGAGTTCCTTTTGTGCGTTTGATCCTGATATAATAAGGAAATTGTTGACATAGTGAATTATCGACTTAATTCCTTGTTGCACCGCAATCCATGCAAGGGCATCTGCAAATCTGCAGAATATGCTCCCAAAGCCCGATTCCCGAAGGCAAGGGCCTTGTCGAAATATAGCTAACCATCCAACATAATGCCTTGCAATACCTGATCCTCAGGGTATACGGGCAGGATCATATAAGCGTCCTTAATGTCAATTTTTGATAGGATGTACCCTTTCCCATAGTATGTAATCTATTTAATTGCGTGGCTTATCGTCTCATATTGTGTACTAAATTCAATCTTGTCGATACTATCGTTTATGCTGGTGCCAAAAGGTGCAGAAAGATGTGATATTATACAGTATGCCTTCGGGTTTGTATTTTTTTCTCTACCAGCTCGCAAGGGTTGATCTGAAACATTGAGCATGGTGGTTGGTGTTGAAAAGGGGCTACACATCCGTCCTTGGGCTAATTCGTCCTGAATGTACTGTTTGAAAGAAGTGGGTCAAGCTCTATTGTCTTCAAATTTTCTTGGATGACCTTGGTTCTGTGGCCCGAAAAATTAAATCTAAACTTCAAACTGAGCTCTTCCCTCAGGTAGGTAATAAATGGGCGATTAGGGTGGCTATTTGTGAGGTGCTCGAATGCTTTGCTGTTAATAGGTGTGGAGATGTTGAAGACGCCGGGATCGAGTTGCTCAAAGATTTCCTTTTCTATGAGTGATAAGGGCACCTGTCGTGGAGGGACAGTATTATGCTCTCTACTGACTGAAGACTGGGGGCCTTGAACATTGTGATGCCTCGTGCTGCCTTGTACTGGGCTTGGTGTCTGAACCAAATCACTCCACCTGTTGGTTGCTCCATTTCCTTCCCTTTACCCGCTAATGGGTTGGTGTTTGTCGATTGTTGTGGTTGCTGTGGTGATGCCATAAAACCTTCTAATACCAAGACGTCCTTGTGTGTTTCAGCGCTGCTCCCAGTGTTGGACCGAGCCATTTGAGATAGTGCGTTAGTAATGTTGACCTGAAGTTGCTTGTTCCACTGCTTTTGCTTAATCGAGATGAGAATCGAATTGAGAATCAATGTACTGGTTAATGGATTGGATGATCGATGTGGCCGACGCACGAATCGACTCATCGATGTATGCCTTTATCAGGGGTCTAGGTGTGTATCAACCCCGGTCTTTGGTGTAGATGACGTTGGAAGGTTTGTTGTACGTGATCCCGTGTCGTGGTCATGAACAGTTGATTCTGTGTCACTCATGGTTGAATATGTCAGTGGGACTGATAAGATTAAATATATTGTCATTGTTACTGCTACAGTTTATGTTTGGATTTTATTGTATTTACGTTTGCTATTTGTTACTAATAGTTGTTAATATTATTTGATACTTTGATTCGTTTATTATTATTATTTTATTTTTTTTTTCGAGAAAAATCTTGTTGCCAGAGACTATTTTGTTGAAGGGGAGAGAATGTGTTGGATACGATTCTTCGTCATTAATTCCTTATATACTGATTAATTCTGATCGGTGACTTTTCTCTTACGTATCTCTGGTAGTGTTCACACGGGCCGGCATGGCCCGCGGGCCACTCGGGTCAAGTCATGCCGATCACAGGTCGGGCCAGGTCGGGCTTGGCCCGGGGGCCACCTGCGGGTCAGAAGCATTTGATTGGCTATCAAATAGTCATTATTGTTATCG